CATTTTCCCTCTCCGTCTTCATCCATTCTTATTGCATCCACCGTACCATTATTTTTTTTTTCCACCTTAAATATCGTTCATTGTTCTAATATTTCTCTTCCCCCATTGTCGGATCGCGTTTCGTGTCGCACACGATATAATATATTTAATTTGCATTCGCCAGCCACAGGATAATGAATATGTCTCAAAGGACAAACAGCAACAAAACACGAAACTGAATCAAGGCTGTTTCTTCCTCCGATTTACGACACATCAAAGCGCGCACTCATTTCTATTTCATTTTTTTGGATTGTTTCCAAGCTAAATTAATTCTTTTTTTTTTCTCTCTCACACATTACACACTGCAATTACAAGCACTTCCATCCTTTACGAAACACACTAGATTTACCAAGTTTACTTAATCCCATCTTCAAAGCAACCGCCCTTATTTCACCAAAATATTTCCAACCCCCCTCAATAAAAAAAAATACACACTTAAAATGAGAAGAATCCGGAAATCCGTGTCGTATAGTTTTACGATTTGTGTATGCTTTTCTCGCCGTTTCAGGTCTTAAATGGTAAAAGACGAGTGCGGATGATTATTACCAGGACAGTGAAAAGGATACAATTTTTTCTATCTCTAAAAGGGAACAACTTTTTACTACTACTCGCCGCCGCTCAACATCAAACGCAAAGATTTTCATTCGAAAATTTTCTTTCGAAAATTTTTCTCCACTCATTTTGAAGTGGTAAATTAACACCTCTTCTTTTCGATACGCAATTTCGCAGACCGCTTTCTTTTCGAACGTTTTATTAAGAGAATTGCGAGCACTTAAACCGCATATTCGCACTTCGGAATTGGTCGTAAAACTGCGTTCATTTCATATTTTCTTTTTTTCTTTAATAAAAACACTCTGACTTGGTCATTGTTATAAAAAAAAAATAATAATAAACAAACAACGTTGATTAGTTATTAAAAGAGAAAGTTCATTCACAAGTTTTTATTTATTCATAATTTACCTTGTAAAATAGTCAATCAATTATATTTTTTTTTTACAATAATGATTTGTTTATAATTAGTAAATTACTATATTATCTAAAATTTTGCATATTTCTTTAATGATTCTTTTAATTTCTTTAAGATTTTTTTCAATTTTACTAATTTTTCTTGTGATATATTAAATTCTTAAATTTTGTTCTTTTATTCTAAGATTTCTATAATTATTTTCCCTATTAATAAACAAAATATTACGAAAATTCTAATATTCATCAAATTTAATTTATTATAAAAAAATTCTATAATTAATAATAAATCATTAAACATTTTCTAGTTTCAATAATTATTATAAACTTTTTTCATGAATTACTGTGTTAAAACAGTAAAAAGCAACTTAAAAATGCAGTAGTAAAAAGTTTTTTTCTTAAATTTTCTAATTTATAACCCAAAAAATTTACATTTTTATAGCCAATCATATAATAACACAATGACAATAAAAAAAAAGGAACTTAGGAAACAGGACACGAGTCAAAACCGTTTTTTAGCACTTTTACAACCCTCTTACAACCGTTCCAACTTTTTGATCCAGATAGTTTTTTAAGGGCTGCGTTTTTCCACGAATTTTATTGCCATCTTCTCGTTTTTTTCTTAAGGTAATACTAATACCAGAGTTCGTTTTTTAGCAATTTTATTGATGAGTTTTCCGAAAAAAAGGACACTGGCCCAGTTTCGTTTTTTAACGAAGACCTTTTGTCGGCTTACGTTTTTTACGCTTTATTATCAGAGGAACTTGTTCATTTCGAAAAGGAAATAAAAAGTGAAACTTAAAAAAAATAAATATTTTATTGCAGATTTAAAACTGAAAATTACGAAGCGGAAAAATTTACATTTCGAGGTGTTTCCGCGAAATGTACTTGAATTATATTATTTTTTTTACGAGAAAAAATTATGCGTTTCATCAGATACGATAAGTTTTCATTGCGCAACGGAAAAGAGGTGCGAATTATTATTTAATTTGTTGTTTTTTTTTCTTCAAAAAGAAGACAATTAAAAGTTTGTTTGCGCAATTCTGGATTAATCGATTAAACGAAAAGCAATTAAGCTTGGATTTGTGGCATTGAGCAAAGTCTATGTTTGCGTTATTTGCGCAACAGAAATTACTGGAAATAGAATGATTCGATAAGAGCTTGTTGTAACATGACATGTTTGATAGCAATAACAACCAAAAAAAAACCTACTTAACAAACACATAAAATGGATTACCTATATTGCTTTAATTTCCCGTTTAATTCTAAAAAAAAACATTCATTAATATAATAATTAAGTATAGTAATCATGTAATTACCGACGATTAGAATTTTAGTTTTTCTACAAACAAAAAACGTTTGCATTTCTGTTTTTTTATAATTAATTATTTGTTTGAATGAAGATAAAAAATTGATGCGATTTCTCCAAGAAACTAATTGAAATTTGTTTTACTATATAAACCAGATGTAATTGGTTTCCTTGAAACATACCCGAATGCAATGTTTTAAATTATATATATATATAAAAAAAATGTGGACAAGTGTTTTGAGCACGAGTAATTATTTGTTTAAGTTAAAAAATTGAAGAGAAACAACATGAATTTAAACAACAAAAAAAAAAGAACGAAGAGACGCAGTTTCGTAATTGATTGACCGTGACTAATGCTCTTCGGGTTTCTAGTGACCGCAAAAACCGAGTCTTCGTTTAGCGGATGGCACTTTTACCTTCTTTTACAAGCATACACGCATTTGTAATCGAAGACATTTCGTTTTTTTTTCTTTCTTGCTTTGAAACAAACAAACAAACATACAAAAAAAACTGTAACTGCTCATTAGAGTTTCCAAATTGAGGAAAGAAATCAATTTTTAATTGAATTCGGGCAAAGAGGAAAAGTTTTGTAACTTTTTTTTTCTTTTCCTTTCTATACGCGTTTTGTACTATTTAGTTTCCGTTTTAGCATTTGCAAAGGAAGCTGCGGAGGAGCTTGCAAAACAAAAGCGAAACAAAACAAATGATGGACAAACACACACGTGTGTCTATGTGTATGCTCTGGATGTTAGCAAATTCCTAACTCCATTGTTTCCTTTTTAACATTTCAAGAAGAAAAAAAAACATGCGCGAATTTCGTTGCGAATTGCCGTTTGCACAATTAATAACTCTTTACCAACGCTTCCGATACTTTCAATACAAATCTTCCAATCGAGAAAATTTATTAGAAAGACAACAATTGATTCCCAGAAAAAATAACAATAAATATGATAATTATTTCAATATCGATTAGTCGACAAAAACCGCAAATTAATTGAATTATAACGTTGAATCACGTTCGCGTCCTGTACAACCCATAAAATACCGGATTCATCTCTGTTTATTTCATTCACAACAAAATTCACAATTCTAAGTAACAACAAGAATCTTTAAGTAATTTACAAATCTTAATTTATATGTAATCAATAATTTCAAACAATTGAATAATTAATTACAAACGAGTGATCAAAGTTTGCTGAAAATAAACCGGGTTCGTGTATTGACGCATCATTGACATCTCCAACATTATTACCCAAAAATTAATTTATTATCTCATAATTAATGAGCTATTAATATCTGTCTCTACATAAATATCTAGTTTTTATTTGTTTATAGATTTGTAATTTGTTGAATAATGATTGATTCGTCGTCGATTTTTTTTAAGAGACCAATGAATAATTTTGTATCATCATCCGCTTATTATTAGCTCTTCGGAAAACGATGACCAAATGGATTTAACCTCACACCGCGTTAATTATTATTAATCGACTGTCAATTGTTTCAAGAACTGCGCGCATTTGTTTAACGTCAAAGAATCAATCAAATCGTATTCGAACACATGAAAAAAAATACGTTTTTCCTATCAGACCGTTGAATAATAGACGAATTAAATTGCTATTTCTCGTTCTTGGAATGTGCGATGTGCATTTTCAGTTACGAAATCCCAAAACCAATATAAAGTTATGTTTATTTTTTTTGTTTAAATAAGTATTAATTAATATTTAGTTTATAGCTTTAATTTATAATAATAAAGTTGATTGAAATTGAAATATTTTTATTAAATTAATTGACTAAATTGTTTCTTTATAATTTCGATTTACTAATTACTAGTAACTAATTAAAAATATTTATTTTTTGTTAGAGAATCTTAATTTTCGTTAATTGTCAAAATTGTCGTATATTATAAATTCGGTTGATGAAATGCGAATGAAGAGAAAACAAATAAGTAAATCTTGAAATCAGTGATGTAATTGCGATAATTTAGAATGTGCGATAGATTGGTTGTGTTTGTGTATCGGGTGACGACGAAAGCCGTGTCCGATTCTGAGGTTGCTATTGGATGAGAAGAGAAGATGGAATGGTAGGAAAAAATAAGTTGAGTTGAGATGAGATGAGATGAGGAGGAAGAAACGTAATAATAATTATTATTCATACATAAATAAATACAAATCTGGTTCTGAATCGAGTGTGTGTGTGTGTTTTATGAGTGCCTGCGTTCGAGGTCTCGTTAATTGTTCCGCATTGGGTAATCTTTATTTTTAGCAGAACAATATGTGAGAGTGTTGATTCTGGTGTTATCGAAATTGGGGCCCCTGAGGTGATCTAACATCAATCCTCTTTGTCTAATTGCTGATGATGATGTTAGAGGTGGTGGTGAAGATGAGGAGAGAGGATTCTGTTTGGATGTCTGTAACCGAAGAGGATGGCTTCTAATGCGTGCGAGACCTCTCCGCCTCTCCTGAGTTGGACGGTATAAACCAATGAGTTTGAAACTTATGATATATATATATATATATATAAATACAAAAAAAAAAGAACGTTTGATGCTTGTCTGTAAGGACACTAATTCAAACATCAATATATTACCACTCCCCTCTGGTCCCCACCAAGAGTCCTTCCGATCTTCTGGCAGGTAAGAGATCTCCCCACCCCAACCAGGTATCTCGACTCGGAGGAGTTTCTACTACTACTAAAACTCATTCCTCGCCAGATCCTTGCTGAGGTGTCTCGCATCAAGAGCGCCGCTACGAATTGACACTTGTCCGAGCGACGCGCGCGAAACAACTCTTCTTCGATACGCCGCATCGCATCATCATCATCATAATCATCACCGCGGCCGCAATTGTCATCCTTGGCAGAAGTAGTAGTAGTAGATTAGCAAGCAATAGAGGAGCTGCATTAATAGTGGTAGTAGTAGTGCCGAAGAAGGCACGCATCGGACCAGAGAGCCGCAGCTCATTCGGCATCGAAACAACAACGAGCACGGACCATCATCCTCAACAACAACAACAACAAGATCCGTCTACAATCAACAACAACAACAAACAACATCGTCCGTAAACCAGGACATCCAGTGAACTGAATAACTATTGTAATTGAGTGACAAGTGATAACGCAAACATCACCTATATTCTCCCCTCGTGCGATTTCAAAATTAGCACCAGTGAAAGTGTCTCCATCTCTATCTCTTCAATATCATTTTTTTTGTTGTTTACGTGCGCGCCTTATCTAGTGTGGATTCCTAATTATTTGGAGAAACGAAACAAAAAAAAAACTGGAGCGAAAACTTGTCATGTGGAAACAGTGACCTAAACAACTATTAAAATATTAACACTAGTGCTTCGAACGATTAAGGCTAGTGCCGAAATAAATTGGGAAATAACAACGACGACTTAACGGTGAGTACCTTAAAACCTTAAAACAATTTTCAACTTTGAAAACGCGGGCGACTTTAACGCTCGATCGAACGCGAAACCCGCCGGATCCGAAAACCACAATCACAATCAATGCAAACACATATCTTTTACAAACAATCTTATATTCAAAATTATTGATTCACCATTTCAAGAAAAAATTAAAACTGAAAAACTTTGATTATAATATTTAAAAAAAAAATTATGTTACATCAATTTCGGTTAGAAAAAGATACTTTTTTTTTTAAACTTTTCAATATTTCTTTAATATTAATTTATTGGACAAAATAATAACGTTTAATAAGAATTTAAAAAATAAGCAATAATTTAACTTGATCATCAAGAGAATTTTGATTAATAATTTTAAATATTCAGGGAATTTACTACGTTTTTTTCTGAAATTCCGAATAATCAATTTTTGCGGTTTTATTCAAATAAACTAGTTTCATGTTCACGCTTCTTTCTCTCTTTCTCTCTTCCTTCTGGCGTCAACTAATTATGTAAGAAAAGAAGAGAGAAAAAAAAAGCATTAAATAAATAAATAAATAAACAAGAGAACTCGTTATGCGGAATGAAGACCGTAAACACAATCTACGTGCAATTTGTAAATATTTAAGAATTTATAATAGGATTACTAATGAATAAGTTAATAAGAAATAAACCGAATGATGAAGATTTCTAATGGCAATTAAACTTAAAAATGAAACGTTTAATTTTCATACAACGCGTGAAATTTGCTAAATAGAATTGGAATAAAGTATGAGGATAATTTTTGTTGACAAAATTACAAATGGAAAATGTAATTAGTTGTTGCTTCTTGTGGATTTATTGGCATTTGTTGAAATTAAATTGTATTAGAATTGTGATTGTGATTGGTTCTTGCAATTAGTGCTTAAGTTTTGTGGTATTTGGGATTGGAATGTAGGAGGAATCGTGTTTCTCTCGTTTCGCGTTCCAATTCGCGGGAAAGTGTGTGTGTTTGCCGTCGGTGTTAAAAGTACAAACAAAGAATATGGGTCTAGTGTGTATAGAGAATTAGCGAGCTGCCAGGATTAGTCATGTTTTTAGAGCCTCTCGCACCAATTCCAAGTGGATCAAAAGCGAGCGCAAGAAACCGTTTTCCAAGAAGATGACTTCATCCCGGACTTTTCCCGCTGCTCCATCACCTTTTACCTCAACCGCAATTAACACATCGTTTTCAACTTAAAACAATAATCAATAAATAAATAAATTAATTTCGCGAATCTTTAAATTATAAAGAAGACAAAAGGGAAATTCGGTTTCGAAATGTGGATTTCCTTTCGGGTTTAATTAGCGATTCTCGCAATGAAACGAAGAAGACGAAGCAAATAAATAAAGTACGAACGAGAAAAAAAAAATGCAACGAGCGACGCAAACACGGCAAATCCATTAGTGCGATATTATTATTATGGTAATGGCGTAGATAAATTGCGACAAAAGCAGAAAACACAATTACGGCTGCAGAAATCGAAGAAAAAAAAAGAAGAGAGAAAAGAAACGAAAGAATGAAATATCAATTGCACGGATGTATCGATTCACGCTGCGATGCGTGGGAGGTGACCTTAAAGAATATTAAGAACGAAAATAACGAGAGTACGTGCGGTAATTAAGTTTTAATTAAAAGCGCGCGGATTTGCACAACAATCGCGCGCGCAAAAAAAAAGAAACACACGAGATGGATTGTGCAAGAAGAGGAGATGATGATGATGATCATCATCATAATCATCATGATGATGAGGCGACGAAGCAGAGGATTATTATAATGCAGCCGGATCTATATTTTACAATTTACATAAATTACCGAACTCGTGCCAACGGATTTTTCACTCGCCGCAATTCATTCGCTTGATTTGAAAAAAAGAAAAATAATAATAATAATTTGTAGGAAGATTTAAAGAAAAAATAATATCCTTGATTAGAAGGTAAAAACCGACTTTGTTAAATTAATTGATTATTAACTGTATCATATACGTCTTCACTCATTAACTTTTTCATGATATTTTATATAAATTTACTAGCGTTAATTATCACAGCTTTCTCATAACCATAAATTAAACTAAATTTGTTCTTCATAATTATAATTTTCAAAAATTATTATTAAATAATTATGATTGAAATATTAATTTGATTGAACAAACAACAAATTTTGTGATGCTCGAGTGCTGAAATCTCCGCTTGGAAATAGCTCACTTTCTTCGCGTTTTTTTTTATAATCTGGAATTCCCGATTTTTTTTTCCAAAGCAATTAAAAACGGAATTGATTGACGGGCAATTTGTACAACTAAAAACGCTCACGTAAGAATTAATTCGAGGATGAGAAAATCCCAATTAAATCGGAACTAATTTCATCTCATAAACTTCGCGATTTATGATGATCAAAAAAAAATAAATAACGTTATAGTTTTTGCATTTCTGCAGTCCTTGAGTTAATAGGAATCAATGTAAAAATTAATGGATTCAAATGATGTGTGTGTGTTTGATACGGTGTTTAACATTTTGAGGAGGGAACGAAAGGCTCGTGTTAACGACGGTATTTTTTCTGGTAATTTACGCCGAGGATATTCATGGGGCGGCCGTAAAAAGCGCTAAATTATTGTTTGAGAAATATTTACATACATAATTTTCAATTAATGGAAAAACGGGATTCGGTTAGCGCGCTTCATTTACATCTCGGATTAGAACCGTGCGTATGATTCCAATCACTAGTATATTTTCGAAAGCCCTTTTTTTTTCTCTCTCGCCCTTTCGAATTTTCGGCGAAGAACAAAGAGATCTACATACGCACGTATTGGGTCTGATTGATGGGACGGACCGAGAACGACCCTAAACGGTTCCTCCTCCGCGGCGGCGTGTCGTGAAACCTCAATTCAACACCTCTTCGTTTGATCGCCGACCGCCGCCGCCGCCTTTAATTTTCGTGGGTGTAGGAGGATCTCTTCCTAGAATTAAAAGATTTTTCGAATCGATTATTTGGATTAATATTATTAATAATACAACAACAACAAAAAAAATGGCGAGAGTATGAGAGAAGAAGAAAAAAAAATAGGTAATAATTAATTCGAGCAATTTGTGCTGCATCACACGTTATAAAGAGAAAATCCCCGGCGACAATGAGGCATTCAGCGCGCATTCCGAGCGCCCGAGGAACGTTTTGTTACATAATAAAATGCGCGCAAACAACGAAGTACGAAGAGCGCAAAGCGAAGAGGTTCATCCACTCTTCATTATTTAAACACCTCGCCTTTGTGCATCTTCCATAAGCAAAAGCAAAAGAACAACAAATAGTAAAAAAAATAAAATTTAAAGTGTAATTAATTATGCAAACACTGAGAATGGCATATTTTCATTGGCAATTAAACGCGATTGGCGAAGAGAGGAAAACCTTTCGAGACGCTTTCTCTATTCCACATGGAAATCGGCATATATCACCACACTAGCCCATAAATAATCCCTGCGGCATCAATTTTACTGCGCGCACTTTCTTTTCTCCTGCTGGAAATATCCTTGTATAAGAAAAAATTACTGACTAACGCAAAAGCGAAATAAATAAAAGAAAAAAGGACGAGAGTTCTTCTTTTCACGATGCAGGCAAATATTAAGGATTCACGCCCGTTAAAGTCCGGCATTGTCGTGTGGCGCGCTTTCATTCAATCGGAATTGCATAGTCATACCGTTGGGAATCGACCTCATGCAAGCCAAGAGGCGAAGAGAAGAGGATGCCTTTTTTTTCTCCTCCTTATTCTTGTTCTCTTATTCGTTTCGCAGAACCTCGCGTATTTCGGGGTCAACCATATGGAGGAGGATGATAATAATAATAAAAATAATGAAAAGAATGGACAGAGGTTGTTTTATGCGTTCGGCGCGTGTCGCAAAAGGCAAATTACGTGTGCAGAAATCATGTGTTTAACTAATAATAATATAACGGACACGGATAGTTCTAAATGATATACAAAACAGAGCCAAGGAAAGTGAAAACCATTGTTTGCTTAAACTGTTTGTTCTCATGACCCACCTATGCTCAATTTTCATGCATCGTCGGCGACGGCGCAAAATTTCCTTCCAATTTTTTTTCATTTATTATTTCTTGTTTTCTTCCCTCTTTTCAGCAATGCAACTTTGTCGCAACAAACATTTATCCGCAATTAAATTGTAATGATGATTACTGCAACGTACAAAAAAACTATATATATATATGTACATGTTTATGGGAGACGACGCGAAAGAGGATCAAATCATATTTACGCTCGCCGCATTATGTAATTTATTAATCCATTGTTGGAGAACAATGGGGGCTCAATCGATGATCCGAAGACTCGAACGAGAGAGAAGTAGAGGAGAGCTAAATGTTACAATTTGTGCAATAATCCCGGAACCGAATTTACTTATAACATAATAAATCACATCCGAACTGACAAATTCCTGAAGATGACTTTTCATTTTTTTTTTCTTCATCCTCCACCGTGCGACGACTTGCATTTTCTTCCGATCCTAATCTTACGCATTGTGACTTCGGATCATTCAAGCAAACCGTTTGATGAATTTCAACAACCATTGAAAACGCGCTAACAATCTTTCAATTGTGACAAAACGTTTTCAACAAACGATAGCAAATTGTATTCATTTCATAATTTTTATTTTATCCATTCACAAAATATATTTCTGAATCATGAATCAAAATTTTAATTCAAGTTGTTGATTTATTCCAATTATAAGAAATGCACGAATTAATTGTTCTCTCTCATCGATGTGTGTGTATGTGTGTTGTCTTCGAAACTTTCGAGTTAATTTCTAATTAGATTCGATTTCACTGAGGCGCTGAGCAAACAAGTCACTCGAAAAAATCTGCATACGAAGATGATGATGATGATTCTTTCCATTTCCACCTCTTCCACTCATCATCATCATCAATTCGAAACTCCGGAGTCTCGTCGAGATTCTTCTTCGTGCTTCTGGCGCTCATATAATGCGAGAATAATAAAATTAGTTGTGAAAGCATCCGGGTCGTAACCTATCACCCAATAATTTGAAAGCGCTAATTTAATGCTAAATAGAAACTCTTTTAAAAACCACGCTGTGCGCTTCTCTATTATTTTTTTACTTCAAATTTGTATGTTGTTTAGTTTCTTTGGATTTAATGGTTTACGACTTAATGTATCAATTTGTCTCCGATTGGGAATTAAGGCCAATCGAAATTGCTGTCTGTCAACGCGCAAACTTTACTAAATTTTATTTTTCTTCTTCTATGATTTCAGATGAACCAGCAGTGCAAAGTCTGCGGAGAGCCGGCGGCCGGCTTCCACTTCGGAGCCTTCACATGCGAAGGATGCAAAGTGAGTATTTAATTACGCAACGAACGAATTGAAAAGAAATTGATGAATCGATGAAAAGCAAAAGTAGTATTCACGCTGCACATGAACGTAATGAGCGAATGCGGCTCCGGCTCCGACTGGTTACGTAACACCAGAGTTTTAATGCTCTACTTGCGCACGCGACAATACCTTCTTTTGTCCATCCATCCGTCCATCCATCCACTTCTTCTATTTTTCGTGCATGTACACGCATTGTGTTTATTATGCGCCTTCGTTACGTCACCACGGCGGTGGCAATTCTCGATTTCCGATCCGTTCTACCGTGAAAACTCGGCCAGATTACACGCCGAAGGAGCCTCGTTACAATTTTCTATTGTCACTGCAAAACGGCCTATTTATCCCATTGACCGAGCACAGCCGCCTGTGGAAAACGAGAGGTGTTTGCAGAAGAAGAAACAAAAGAAAACAGCAATTACACCGCACCTCATCCAACCTTCGACCGATTTCGGACACAATTTCACTGTTCAATCGTTTAGTAATTTCATTCATTTCCCCTCCAAATTCATTGCAATCGACAATACGCATGAAAAAATTCAATAACTTCAGAACTTATAAATCAATTATTAGCAAACATCGATTTCTTATTATTAATAATTTAAATTGTTAGTAAAAATAAAATTTACAAAACTCACAATTAATTTACAATTGATGTACTGAAACGAAGCACATAAATTTCTCGAAGAATGAAGAGAAGAAAAAAAAGAACAACCTTTATACGATCCAAATTTGGTTTTGCAATAAATAAAGACTCGAAGAAGAAACGCAGCAGCAATAAATATCCGTTTCTGTGCGATCGCTTAATTACATATTATTGTTAACTTATTTATTTCTTCTCTCTCTCAACATAATTTTCTAATGGATTATTGTTGTCTCTCTTCATTTCGTTTTCGTTGTTCGCTCTTGGTCCAAATATGGGAAAAACGGGTTAACAGAGAGAGAGCAGGTTTCATAAGCACGTTTTTCGAACTCCTCTCTTCTCATTGTAATTAATTAGCGAAACTGTTTGCATACGCACCCGAGACAGATAAATGAATGGAAATAAAGGAAAGAAACGAGACGAGAAAAATAAATGCTAATGGCTTGTCGAGATGTCACGTTCATTAAACTGAATGCAATTGTAATTGCAATAGTTTCCTTTTTATCCTTCTCAGTTTTAATACTACCTAATTTAGATAATTACAAATTAAATTGCAGCTTATTTATTCTTATTATTCAACTGAAATTGGTTTTTGTATTGGCAACAGTTGTGAGGTAAAACTGAAATGTGCGATTAGTGGAAACTGAATTGTTTTCGGTATTTGAATACAATTGCTTTGTAATTACATGGGTGTTTGGAGAAGAGGATGGAGAGGAGGAAAAAACAAATAAAAAGAATCGGTGTCGGTTGCGACAAAAGAGGCAAAGGCTCGCGCCATCCGCTCCAGATGGGCAGCAACCCGGAGCCGCCAATGCCGCCCCACCAGTTTCACTTTATGTCGCCTTACGCAAGTGTTGCAAACTGCGAAACGTACTAATGACCAACGATTTGTTGTTTTTTCTTGCCTGTTTCAGTCGTTCTTTGGAAGATCGTACAACAATCTGAGCTCGATCTCCGAGTGCAAGAACAACGGGGAGTGCGTGATCAACAAGAAGAACAGGACGGCGTGCAAGGCGTGCAGACTGAGGAAATGCCTTCTCGTGGGGATGTCGAAGAGCGGATCTCGCTATGGGAGGAGATCGAACTGGTTCAAGATTCACTGTCTGCTGCAGGAGCAGCAGCAACAGCAGCAGCAAGCGTCGGCCGGTGGTGGACAGCACATGGTGAAGCCGCCGCAGAGGACGCCGCCACCGCATCACCAGACTTTAGGCTTGGGGTTGCTCAATCAGAACTTCCCTCCGCCGCTGCTGCATCTGCCGAAGACCAAGGAGGAGTTGATGCTGTTGGGTCTCGATGATTACAAGCACGCGAATTCTCCTTCGGTGAGCTCGCCGGAATCGCACAACTCCGATTCTTCAGTGGAGATAGGAGACGCCAGACGTATGCCTCTCTTCCCAGGACTCCTGCCACCCACCTTCCTGTCGCCGCAGGCACTGCTCTTCCCGCCTGGATACCCGCAGATGTACCCAGGACTCCTGCAGCCCGTGCATCACCATCACCACCACAACAACAACAACAACAGTAGCAGTAATAACAATAACAACAACAACAACAACAGGATGATGAGGAACCACAATCCAGGCGTGGAGACTTTCAGTAAACGCGTCTTCTTGGACGCGGTTCTTCAGTCGCAGCGATCGCCGACGCCTGAGGAGGTCGTGACGACGCCGGTACCATCGGAATCGCCCATCCAGGAGGATCCAATCGATCTGAGCATGAAAACGCTCAGCGAACGGGGCTCATCTCCAGCCCGGAGCGATCGCACCGGATCGGATGCGACGGAACGCGGAAGCGAGGCCGACGAGGAGGAAAGCGACTGCGACTCGGAGCGCGACCTCAAGCGCATCAAATTGATTCGACCCACCCCCCTGGACCTCACCACCAAGGTGTGATCATCATCATCACAAAAAAAACAAACCCTTGATACATCCCCCCCCCCCAACCAATCTACCACCTGAGATGTGTTCGAACGAAGAGCAGCGAAGGAAATGAAACGACCTGCAGCATCAATCAAAAAACAAAAACAAAAAGAAGCAACAGAAACGATGGTTTAGTAGAGTTCGCGCGCGCGCCAACCCATCGACAACTTTACGGGTGGCCCCCATGAAACGCACACCTTTTCCTCCGAGGAGATCCAATTCAGAAGTGTATTTACACCGTGAGCGAGGCAGTAAATTCGATCGAAACTCGATATCAAAGCCACCTCATCTCATCTCTTCTTCTCTCTCATCCATACACAAATTCTTCGCCATCCGGAATCCCCCAAGGATCATCGCGCGCGCTCTCGAATACCGCAAACGAGACAAAACAAAACGAAAACAAAAACAAACAAAAAAATATATATAAATATAAAAACGAATGTTACCATAAAGTATATGTTTTTAGTGTGTAAGATATGAACGCAGCAGGTGACCTGTTCATAAAACTTAAGTGTTGTATCAAAGTATCCCCGAGTTTACAATCGCAGCAGCAGAAGAAGAAAAAATAATAATATATAAAACAATAACTTTGCGTGTTATTGTTTCCATCCGTTACATTACACATATTATATAAATACACGTTTTTTTACCTGTACAAATCTAAGATATTAACCTTACATAATTATATATAGATATATATTACGTTATTATCATCATCATCGATATGTTAAAATTGTATATTTTTCTTCGTCGCGATTTACTGAAATTAAGGTGTAGTTGTTGTTTCTTTAGCTGCTCTCGAGTCCAATTCCGAAAACGGCCAGTATAAATAGTAAATTTAAATAATTATACATATTATATATATATAAATATTTACGAATATAAATATCGCTTTTGTACATAGTTTTGTTAGTTGTTAATTAAATTAATTAATTATTATTATTATTAGTTTTAAGAGCAGTGCAATGGAAAATGGTCTTTTGTTAATAATAAAAAAAAAAAAAAACACAAACAAACATTTCATTTGTTTATATACACACGTAATTCTCTCAAAACAAAACAAAAACACAAAAAAAAAAAAGGAAAACTTAAAGCCGCGATTTTAATTGCGATCCAATTATTATTATTATAATTAATAATAAAATTATTCTTATTTATTTATACATATATTATATTAATTCCATTTTTTATTGTCTTAAATAAAATGTACATAATTATTATTGTTGAGGTTCACAACTAGTTGGGCATTTTTTTTATTACGTAAACACAGTATATATATATATATATTTGTACATATATACGATTTGTTTTTTTTTATTAATTTTTTTTATATTATATATATATATATACGCGAAATACGGTTTCGAAAAAAAAAAAAAAAAAGAACGAATCTTTTTTTTTTTGAAACACTTGTACATATCTCGATTTCTATTGTTTTATTATTATTAATATTTTTGTGCGATTTATAATGAATCATTATTATTATTGTCCAATTGTTTTATTATTATTTTTTTTTCCTATCAGTCGTCCGTCAGGGACTTAGGCCAGTTTTTACTCTTCGATGGAAACGATTCTAACGAAATGTTCCGTCGTTTCCATCGGTTTGTGTGTGATTATTATATTATTTTATTTTATTATTATTATTTTTTTTTTGTAAAAAGAAATTGTTTATAATTATTTGTTTGTTTTCGAATCGAATCAACGACAAAAAAAATAATGACTATACGCAAGAAATAAACAAAAAGAAAAATATATGTATGCAATATGATTTTACGATTTTTCTTCCATTACCCTCTAACACACTTCTTTTCCCAACAGGTTTAATTTCATGAAAAAAAAAGAACAATTTACTCATATGGGATTATTGTCTTCAGCAGTTGTTTGTAATACACTAGGTCCTCTTTTTATGCGGTTTTGAAGTTATGAGGTTTTTATTTCAAGAAGCATTTTTTTTTAAATAACTATTTTAGGTCATTTTGGCACGTTTTGACACAAATTGGCAAATCATTTCATCGAAAAAGATGATAATTCTGAACGAACATTCAAGTTTCAACGCGAGCTTCAGAATTGCATTTCTGGATATCAGATATTGTACAAAAAAAATAGCAAAACCATCGCAAAGTTTAATCACTGATTATATTGTCAAAGGGGGAAAATCAAGATGCAAAGTTGAGACTAATTTTACTTCTTCAGGACATAGATCTGATATGCTGACTATCTTTTCTAGTGATGAAAGTGAATTCGAAAATTATGCCGAACACTCTCATATAACTCATATAATTCTAAAGAAAAAAATGTGTAGAAAGATTAACTTTCATAAAAATTTTCTGTATTTTTTTTTTGTAAATTGATGAAAAGTGATTTCGAACCAGTTCGCAAATTATGCCGAACACTCTCATATAACTCATATAATTCTAAAGAAAAAAATGTGTAGAAAGATTAACTTTCATAATCATTTTCTGTATTTTTTTTTGTTAAAATTTTTCCGTATAAATTTAGAAGGAATATCTTAAGATTATATGTTTCTGAAACTTAATAAACTTCTCTATGATTGTTAACGTTTTTATAAAATTATGAATAAACATTTCAGAAAGACTAATTATTTTTCTGAAATTTAATAAACCCTTTTTTATGCGATTTTCGGTATATTGTAACTCATTGATTTAGTTTTATACGGTTTTAAAAAAATATGAAACGTATCCTTTATTTTTATACGTGTGTCTAGTCCTTTTTTGTGCGATTTATTTTTATGCGTTTTCCTGTAGAACGTATCCACCGCATAAAAAGAGAACCAAGTGTACTTACAATTTAACCCTTGTGGACGCACGCAAGGTATATTTTACCCACTATCTATTACATCAGTTTAAATACTATCTTATGTAATTATAATGTACAATTTCTTGGAAAAAAAATATTTTAGAAGGCATTTAGTATACAAATAGGATTATTTTTTTAGTTTATTCCATTTGGAAGGTACTGAGGGTTAAAAATCAGGATATATAACTTCTTAAGTGTATGCGGTAACATGTTGATTTATAAGATATTTCATAGAAACTTCTTCATAAAAAAAATCTAATTTTGGCACTAACAATTATTAATTAATTCTAATTAAAAATAGTTATAATTAAAGATTTGTAATTTTTAAACGAGAATTAATTAACATAATATAATCGCAATATATAAACAGTTTTGAATCGTATAAAATTTTATAGTTAAAATAAACAAATTTGAACTTAAACTATATCAAATAATTAAGGTCAAATTTTTAAACGAAATTAAATTCGTTTCAGATTTTGCTTATTATATAACGCGCTAATTATCAAATAAAAACTCTCGCTGGATTATGTTAATGTGAAATTCCAAATTCGCGATAATCTGATAATTAATTGTCGAACATTAAAATGTAATTTATAACAGAAGATCAAATTTAATTAATTCCGCGTTTGTCCGTTTGACCCAAATCCGTGCATATTGAAGATGATATAAACTAATGCAGATCGTTGCAACATTATCAAAAATTAAAATTATTTTGCGTAATCAGTTTTATTGCGCAACTTCTCTTCATGAACGTGCACAGACGACGACGACTTTACTTATTTATTTTATATTCTGTATTATTTCGTGTGTCTGTTCATAACTTCTTCTTTTTTTTTGTTGTTGCTTCCATCGTTAACTCTGTTTCTCTTCGGTTTACTTTTATTGCAAAAGATGAGCCAGCCTGTAGAAAGTACAAATATAATAAATGTCACTCCCATGTTACGGGGGACTTTCTTGCCGCATCTATTTAAGAGATTAATGGCGATTAAGTCGGGTTCATTTAGGCCACATTATAATGTTAAAGATCCACACGCTCTATTGAGAGATTCGCCTCGTTCTCTCCAATAATAATAATAACGAGAGACGAGAGAAGATTCGCTCTTTCTCTCCTTCCTTCTCAAACCAATCCATCTCCTCGCTCTCATCTCCAAATTAAGCCTCCGCAGCCTCCGTTTCCGCATCTACTTTTATTTTTTGTGTCTTCATCTGTTCTTAATCTCATCTGCACATTACGAGATATTTGCCAAATACAAATACGAAATTTTAATAAATTTTGGAAGTAATCTTACAAAGTGTACTTAATTTATAGTTAAATTTGAAAATATTGGTACAGAAATCGAAGGTATTGTTAACTTTTAAGACGATCGTTACGAGTTTTCTACGTTTTTAATTACCGGTTTCCAAGTTGAATAGATTTTCTTGCAGGTGTTTAAGCACAACTAGAATGTCATTAAGACCGGCGCCGTTCGATAATTATCGTAAATAAGGCAATCATTATCGAATATTGCTGAGGATGGAATTCATTTATTATCCGACGCAATACAATCTCTGTGACATAATTGTGATCACGAGCCGTGCCAATACCCAACACAGCTCAACATTGTTTATAATAATTATGGGATGAGCAGACAATGTTGCTCTTGCACGTTGGCATTAAAAAAAACCATTGCCTCTCGTGTGTGATCTCTTATTGTGTGAATTGTTATTGTGAGCAGAGCAGAAATGAAAAAGAGAGATGAGCATATGTACATCATCAGGTGATGGTTATGGACCGATTAAGGATCAAATTGACCAATCCATTGTGACGAGTGTACAACAGCAGCCGCAATAATAACAACAACAGTGTTGAAGAAGAAAAAAAAAACACGAATAAATTAAATTTGAGATGTAAATAAAAAAAAAAGGAAACGGCCTCATTAAATTAATTGTAATGAAAAATGGTCGAATCATTAAGGTAATAATTCCCACTCCATTGAAGCTACTTTCCCTCCACACCGAAATTATTCCAAATAAATCAATAATAAATCTGCTAAATTAAATCTCAAATGTGCTTTGTAATTTTCTTTTGAAAAGAAAATTAAGCAGTGTGTTCAATTATTTGTTTCTTAATCGATGTAAAGTATGTAAGCTAGATTTGATATTGAACGTGGAAATGAAAGTATAAATCGTAGAAAGATGATTGAATATTGAAATTAAAGCTCAATATTTGTGGAGTAAAGTGTATATGGTGTTATATTTGTAGCTACAGGTGTTTTGTTATGTAAGGTGTCCCAAAATTAACGAAAGATTTGAATAAAAAAAAAAATCACAACATGAAGACTAAAAACTGTGTTTTCTATTTAATTCAAATTTATCGTTAATTTTGGCACACCTTTTATTTTGTAGATTTTGTTATTAATTGCTGAAAAGCAGTGTCTTCATATATACGTAAATTACTCATAAATTATACAAACGAAACATATTAAGTTTAACGCTTTATTAGCAGAATTTAGTTAAAATTTAAAAAAACTTGGATTTCTTTTAAAACACATTAAGTTAAGCCTATAAATTTTTATTAAATTTCGGCAACTTTGTGGTACTTTTTGGTAAAGTCAGGCAATTTTAAGCTAAAATCGTATAATAAGTAAGTTATAGTGATTTAGATTACAAAAAATGGATCGATTTTCTTATATAACTTATTCCATAGTATTCTGCTATACAATTTTTCTTTTCGTTACAACATAAAACAAATAACCTATACAGAAGTAGCTTTGTACTCATTTGGTGCTTCCAATTGCAAAACAAATCATTTTTATATTCAATATAAAGATTAAATTAAAGTTTCTACAAGTATTTAGGTCTTATTTCATCTTTGTTTCTAATTTAAATGGTGCCATAAATCACAACATAAAAGAAGTTTTCATTTATTTTCACTTATTTCTAAATTAACATTTATTTTGTAGATTTTGTTATTAATTGCTGAAAAACAGTGTAAAAACATACAAATGAAACATATTAAGTTTAACCCTTTATTACCTGTACGTAG